TTTCCGACACAAAGATGACGTCATTTCCTCCTCTGTCACTTCCTTCTCCTGTACTCCCTTCGCCACATTCTCCTTTTTGCACCACATCTCATTCTTGTACTCCTTCCACCGTCTCCATCAGGGTAATATCCTCCATCGTGTATGAAAAAAATAACTCGAATGCAGCATCTGATAGCCACGACGAATCATCATACCCCATATGACCATCTCCTTTATCACCCCTCGCCCTTGAGAACCGCCAGTCCCTCTCACCCCTCCATCCTGAGAATCGCCAATCCCTCTATCACCCCTCCATCCCGAGAGCTGCCAGCCCCTCGTAGGCTTGCTATGTCACATTATATCGCTGCGACCCCAGCATAAAAGTCTTTTAACCCGGCTCGAAGCATCGTGACATCATGTCCTAACTTCGCTACGTCGCCTCTCATCATAAATGTAGCCAGAAGTTCGAACAAACCATCGGTGGAAGCACCGCAACTATGTGCAGGAGATCTATGTCGGAGATGTCTGAATGCGGGAGAATGTGATCTCATATGTAGAGGCGACCTCCTCGGGAAAGGTGATATCCTTGACCAAAGTCATCTCCTCATCGAAGGTAATGATGGACGATGATTATAAGAAATGAACATTACAAATAAATAATTTCATTAAAAAAAAATCAAAATGATAATCAATAAATTATATTCAATTAACACTCCTCATCTCGATCCGTAAATGGCCTTAAGCATCTGATCGTCTAACGCAGTTGGAATAAACAGTTCACGCAGATAACTTTGATCTTCTCCTTGATTGACGGTGTTAACTCGATAAGGACTTTAAGCTAACAAATTGACATTTCACCGAATTAATGACCATGTATCGAGATTTTGAAATGACATACAATATAAATTGCAAATGTATACTATGTACCTTGGGATCGTCAAGAAGAGCTGATAATTTTTTGACAAGTAATTTGTCTTGTGCTCGCTAATGATGCAATCAGCCAAGACGGGGACAGTTTAATACACCCATATTTGCGACAATTACAATTATTATATATAATAATTTAATTAAAAATAGATAGTTCATTATTTTAAACATTTACCCGTAAAGGGAACGGCAAACCATATGTATCGTACTTGCGCTCGGGCCTACCCCTAGGCATTGAATACAACCTCCGAAAGACGCGCAAATTAAAAAAATTTAAAAATTTTAAATATTAAATAAATAATTAAAAAACGATTACATAATAAATAATTGCAAAATTAATTAAATATTAAGGAAACTCTTAAAATAAATAATCACAAAAACAATTAAATATTAAAAAAATAATTTAATAAACAATTCACTTTCGACAATTAAATAATAAATAAACAATTAAAATAAATAATTACAAAAACAATTAACAATTAAACAAACAATTAAAATAAATAATAACAAAATAAGTACATATCAAATAAATAATTAAATATTCATTTATTTAAATTAGAAACAAGGGACGAGGCTGCCTGGAAAAGACTAGATCCAAATGCTCAGGTTGTCTAGAATCTGGACGATCAATCTGGCGTTTTGACCGTTTGAAGAGTTGTTTGGAATAATCTGGATCTAGACGACCTTCTGTTCTGCTTATGGCAGAGATAATTGGAAATCTCCGCCCCTAATGTTTAAGTTTTTTTCATTTCATACCACAATAATTCCTGTAACGTACAATTAATGATATCTAAAGATTCAAAAACACGAGTGGCTATCTCAATGCAATAAATGAACATGCAATTAATAGTATCTACTTGTTCAAAACTCACTTTCTTTAGAGGAATTGCCATATGTGGTCTCCGACGTCGATTTCTTGGTGGTGTGGGTCGATGGTAATGCTACAATATTTTCAGATGCCTCTCCCTTCAAAATGATGTGAGAATATAAATGGCCATTCAATGTTTATTACATTTTTAATGATTTTTTTTTAAACAATCAAAGGCCTTTTTGGAAAGATGGTCGTGCCAACCAGCCATCTTCCACTATTTCCTCTAAATTCACACCCCCAATATCTGGTTTCCATTTGAATTTGGATTGAAGTAGAATTAAAGGCAATTTTAACAGGCCTAAGGATTTGTAAGTTTTGAATAAGAGGCATTTAAGGGTGCAAGTAGACTCTATGATGACAGTAAAAGACAATGGTGGACGATGGCGATGGTAGGTTTATTATTTTGATTTTAGGCTCAAGGGTTGGAGGGGGATGGGAGTTTGGGAAAAGAAGATACATTTTTCTTTTATTTTCTTCTTCTTCTTCTTTTTGTTTTTTCATTTCAATTCTTTAATTAATTTATGTAAAAAATATAAAATTATCATTTTACACTTTTAAAATTAATTAAAATGTGTTCAAAATCAATTTTTTAGTTCAACTGACGACATTTTGGATAGAAATCGTCCAAAAGGACCTCACTTATAGTGGTTAAAAATGTTAGGAGTCACTGCAACATATGAAAAGTTTGAGGAAAATCTGCATTATTTTTAAAGTTTGGAGCTTTTGCTGCAATATCCATTGTTTTTATAAGGTCTATTTTGAATTAAATGCCTTGCAAGTCACTCAACTTTGAGTAAAATTGTACCGGTCACTAATCTTCAATTTGGTATAATTAACTCAATAAAACCTTTTATTTCTTTTTAGACCTGATCAATTAATTTTGATGCTTGCAAATCTAATTACTTTGTCCAATGATGGTCAAATTTGACAAAAGTGATGAGAATTTCTTCTCTATTTAGGTAATCTCTTCTGGTAAAAGTAAGAAAAGTTAACTTACTAGAAAAGTTAACTAGAAATTTTTGTCCATTCATATACTTTTTTCTTCTTGTTGCACGAATTAGAAAAGTTAACTTACTAGAAAAGTTAACTAGAAATTTTTGTCCATTTATATATTTTTTTCTTCTTGTTGCACGAATTTCTAAGCATTCGCTTATCCTCGTTAAAGTAGACAAAGTTGACTGAATTTTCAATCAATTTTGACACTAATATTCCTTGACAACTTTGCATTTGTCTAATAAGACATTTTGATAAATAGGTACTACAAATTCCCCATATTTAATTTAAAAAATAAATAAATTTGTCAGAGTTGAATTTTATTTTGGTAAAAACAAAAAGAAAGACTAGTTAGATCACAGGCGGATCCAGGACAGAATTCACGACGGGCTAATAACCCAAAAAAAAAAAATCACACACGAAAAAACTTTGTTATTTAAATTTTTTAAAATTAATATTTCTACTGGAGGGACAAGCTGTAGCACAACCTCACCCGTTCCTACATCTGCCCCTATGTTAGATAGTTATCATGTAAATTTACAAAAAACATTATGCTCCAGTTTGGTAGTTATATGCATGTCAACGAGTTGAGTCAAGTCGAGTCGGCTCGCGAGTCGAAATTTTAGGCTCGGGCTCGGGTAAAATATTCGAATTTTTTTTCGAGCCTTTTGCTCGGCAAAAAAAAAATTAGGCTCGACCCAAACTTTTGGCTCGAGCCTTTCCGAGCTGGACCGGGCTGGCTCGAGTTTTGTTTGGTTTTGAAATTTTTTTTATTAAATAAAATGGCAGCAGGTTGCTACCTTGTTTGGCAACAACTTGCAATAAGCTGCCATTTAAGGCAGGCAGTAGCACGCTGCCTTTTATTTATTTTTTTTTAATTTTTTTTTAATTTATGCTCCCAGCTGGCCAGCCACACGGGCTGGCTCAAGCTTTGCCCAACACCTAAAAATGAGGCTCGGCCCGATCCTCGGCTTTGTTCTCCCGAACCTTGAGCCGGGCGGGCTCGAGCTTTTTCCGAGTCAAGCCACGGGCGGCCAGAGCCGGTGAGTCCGATTGCTATCCCTAGTAGGTATTAAAATCAAATTTTTAGTAAATTTTGATAAAATTTGATTAAATATATATTTAAGTTGTAAATTTTATGAAATATGTGAGTAAAATTAATTACAAACTTTGATTTAAAGTAAAATCTAAGATTTATTTCCTATGAAAGAGGGGCTATAAGAAAAAGGTGTATTTATATTTCGTATGGTTGGGTAAATTAATAACCAACCTACCCTACGTGATTCGATTCGTGCCAATTGGAGATTTGGTTCGATTAGTTTAGGTTTGGAAGATGTGGGTCGAGTTTGGTTCTGTGTTGGTACCACCAACCCGATTGAATCCGACCCAATAACCTTTTTTATTTTTATTTAAATCATTTAATGGTTTAACAGATCAATAAATAGCAATCAAAAAGAGAGAGGAAAAAAATGGAATTAGAGAACCCAAACCTAATTTCCAACTCGAAAGTCAAAACATGAACCCTAGTCTGTCTTCATCCCAAATTGGACCAGCAATCGTCACCAGCCACCTATTCTTTGTATCTCATCTCTCTCTCCACTAGCCCCCTCATCCGAATCCATTGGAACTTGGAAGATAAACCAACTTCACTCGTCTAAAGCTGAGTCAAAAAGAACATGTAAATCACCTTTGCTCTCTGGGTTTTTATATTTGTACACTGAGCTGTCACCTTGTGGGCTCCTTTTCTTGTAAGAAGACTGTACACCGAGATATTGACGTGACCCCCTTTTCTTGTGAGGAGGCTGTACACCAAGTTTGGCAATTCGGGGTATGTGAAGCAAAACCCTTGCTCTCCATCTCACAAAAGCAATCGTTGTCAAAAACCTCTTTTATCAAGTAATTTTTGTTGAACTTTCACTTCATACGTATTGCACACAACCCTCAAGAAATTTCCATTTTATCATCACAAATCACACACCAAGTAAAATGTTTGTTCTGCATTTATTTTTGTTGTCCCTTCTGTTTCCTTTATATGCTTTGTCATAGCTTGACAATGGTTGATATGTAAGTGTTCATTTGTTTAATGTAAATAACTTCAGTAACTAAATAGCTTAAAAAAAATTTGAGGACGAGCTTAGAATTTCATACAAACTTCAGTGACCATTTGTAAAATTAACTCCCTAATAAACAGAAAGCAGTTGAAATAAAATAATTTATTTTTCTTACCTTCTCATGTTAGGGGGAATTTATTTAAATAAATCTTCTCTTTAAGATTTACAAGAAACAGAGGATAATATACATTCTCAATTTTTCAAAGTTTAGAACCTCTCTCTCTTTCTCTCTCAATATATATATATATATCAGACTATCGCAGCAACACATTGTACTAGATGTACGCTATGTACAGAAAAACTTAGAACAGCAACCACTGCATATCCTGAGATAACCATGGCGAATTTTCACAACACAAGCAAATGCTAGTCGAAACCTTTATGCTGCAACAAGACTCTGAATATCCTTCTGAAATAGGATAACATTTCAAAATTAATACAGCAGAATTTATGGAATTTAGTAAATACTTTTTGAAGAGAAAAGAAAACAAGGAAATCTAGGAAAGGAAGCAAGGTGAAGCAGAGAGTAAAAACAGAAAAACTGGGTATCCTCATCATTAGCTATTTGAAACTAGAGTCATCAAAGCCTCATTGACTTGACCTGGACCTGTACCCCAACGAGAAAGCACCCAAGAAGATTCTAGGACCATCAACAAAGGTAAATTAACTATTTTCAGCATGTGTGGCAAATCTAAAATTAAAATTTAAAACTGGTCAAACATGCTTTTTATCTTAAGAATTCATGAATACTATCCACTTATTATACACACATTCTGTAGGGATTCACAACTTATAATCATTCCTAGACATGCTCTTAGTCTTTTGATTAGAGTAGGGATCACGAGAGAGCATATTGTAAACTTCTCTATATTACCCATCACACTTCCATAAGGAATGTACTCCTTCATATTCATTTTTAAAGGACGTTTGCCAATTCTAATTCAACAGTCGTATAGTGAAGAAGTTGAGACCTATGAAGAATAGCTTATATTTAAGTTTTCAACACTTGTCTATTTTCCCAGTTACATTTCAAGCAAATACAAATCATGGCAAAGGAAAGATGAAACCGGGAAAACCTCTAAAATGGCCTATTTAATAAAATTATTCGATAAGGATTTAATGTTTAGGTCACAACATTTTGAAGTGCATCTTCATAATGAGAAATCACCAACGATCCTCAAAAAGAAAAAAATGAAAGAGAGGAAAATTTAACTTTAAATGGTGGTGCTTTTGATGAAAAAAGGATATACATTTGGCCATACAAGAAAAATGATTTACCTCTATTTGAAAAGGCGATGTTGTTGGTGGGTATCTCTGAACCACTTTACCATTTTTGTCCACTAGGAATTTCTCAAAATTCCATTTAATCAAATCACCTAAAATTCCTCCAGCACTTGACTTCAAGAACTGATAAACTGGTGCTGTACTGGGTCCATTCACATCAACCTGTTTTGGCTTGAACATATTAGTCATCGGTTCATAACAATTTGTTAAAAGGTGTACAAGGAGAACAAAAAACCTTGTCGAAGATTGGGAATTCCGCTTTAAACCTTGTGCATGCAAACTGCTTAATTTCTGGATTTGATCCTGGCTCTTGGCCACCAAACTGATTACAGGGGAAAGCTAGAATTTCAAATCCTGCAATATGGTGGCATAAGGAGATGAAGAACATTGAGGTCAGTCCTAATATTTAATCAAATATGTGCACATTTCAGCCAATTAAAAATGCGGGAGAGAATTAAGGGGAAAAAAGAAACAACAAAAAAACTTGACAAATATTATACCAACGTAAATATACTTGTAAACCTCTTCTTGTTTCCATAAAAATTACTGCATTCTTTATAATATTTACCATTGGTCTTCGTAATTGAACATATTCAAATGTACAGGTCTTACGAGAAGAATGTAAAAACTGAAGTCTTAACAAATCACCCTTACTATGCATAGTTCTCGGAAAATATTCGTGGGCACAAAAAACAAAAATAAAAAATAAAAAAAATACTAAACATCCTCCGCACTTCTGACATATTGTCAGCATGGTTTCTTATTCTTACTACGCCAGCATGCAGAAAACAGGAAGGAAAAAGAAAAAAAAGATATTCGACAGCACTAACTAGACAAGAACATAGCACAAACAAAGAATTAAAAATCGTGCTACAAAAAGAGGGAACTAAACCAATCCCCAATCCATAGGCATGGAACTTAATTTAATTCCAGGTTATCAAGAATAAATATTCAGTTAGAATGCGACATAATGGTGTATTTGTCTGTTGGTGCAGTGTTTGAGGTGAAAATTTTGCTCTGCACGTGGCTAATTAAAACTCCAAACTCTCTCAGCAGCCTGCAGTATAATATGCAAAAACAACTATAAAAGTATGTTTATCAGATCTGAATTTCAGTCAATCTCACCTTGAGTTTTGTACTTCTCGTAAAGATGAGAAAGTTCTGTGTAATTTGATGATGTTAAACCGCTGAATCAAAAATAAAATGAATATGTCAGCCACCCAGCATTTTTTGACATAAAATGTACTCTTAGAAACAAGATCCAGATTCTACAAGCATCTATTATAACATGTTGACACCCACAGTTACTCGAATCATATAATCAAGTAGCATATAAATAGAACTCTAAAATGGTCATTTCAGGCAGTTACTGCCTACTTTACACCTGCACAAATAGATAATGGCAAAGTATACCATTTTGAAGCAACATTCACAATTAGGAGAACCTTTCCTTTAAATTTGCTGAGGGAGACTTCCTTCCCATCAACATCCTGTTTTCAAGAACAAATATATGTTAGGTCTCCAACATATCCACATCGAAGAGAAAGCAATACATCAAAGAGAGAAAAAATCGATCCAAAATCTCCTATATGTTACATTGTCAATGTGCCAACTACATCATAAGCATTCACAGAAGTATCGTTGATACAAAACCTGATTCAATCAAAATCAATAATGAAAAAAGCTAGATACTGATATTGGTAACCTATGTATTCAATAATTATCAATTTTCTTTGATTTGACAACCCTTTTTCAGAACTCAGAAGGAAGTTCATACTGCAAAAGCACAGTTCTCTTGAGATTGCCCAAGTTCTGACTTATGCTGAAATGATGGCCGCATAATTTTGATTGATTCACAGAAAAAAAAAAGATTATAATTTATGCAAATTATTCAACTTCATTATACATAGAAGGAAAATATCACATGGGAAAATGTGTTAATAAACAGTCATCAAATGGACAACTAAATTAAGCAAAACGCATCAAACAAAAATGGTAATCAAAACCCATAAGAAACATAATTGAATATCCACGACACACACATACAAACTGAATATGGAAAGTGAATGTGAATTTTTTTTACCTTTACAGTGAAGTCATGAATAGACTTCTCTGTGGCAGCTCTGGCATAAACCACAGGAAAGTATCGAGACTAACCCAGTAATATTTGAAGACTGAATTGAGAACCCAAGTTGGAAAAATACGGATTTGGAGGATACAAAGTTGGATGAAGCTTTTAGAAAAGGTATAAAAGAAGAATCTGAGCTTGACTGCAGTTTGGCTTGGGTAAACATAGGCAAAGGTGTTGAGAAAACTGAAGAATAAGCCATGCAAGCCATTTTTGAAAACAGTGTAAATGGGTTTTAAGAATTGGGTTTACAGGACGAAGAAACCTTGGGCGGGAAGATTGGAAGGTAATGAAACACTTGGTTTCACAACACCCACCTATTTCTACTTCTTCCTTTTCTTTTGTAGCTCGACATTTCTAGTTCTTTTTTGGTAATAAAATTAGGGTGGACAAAAATGATGAAGAGTTGCTTTTAGAAAAGTAAATTTTGACTTAAAAGCTAAAAGGGGGTGTAGTAATCCTTTGATCGGGTTTCCTTCTAAGTGGCTAAAAAGTTATCTTTTAGAGTCAAATGTCTTTTTAATTAAATAATCATAGAATACATAAATACTATCAAGTGTGTTTAAGCCACGTTCTTTTAAAAAAATATATTTTACAGTAGTATATCGATGGAGAATGTGTAATTAAAAATTAAGATAAAATTTTAAATTTACATGTAATATTATTTTAATGAAGAATATGTGATTGAAAAAACGAGAGAAAAATGTATTTTGGTTGAAAGAGAGAGAGAGAGAGATAGAGAGAGAGAGAGAGCGTAATAATTATTTGCATGTGAAAATGCTGCAATTTAGATGAAGTGCTGCATTCTCATTGCTAAAATCCTGCAAGTGTAAGATATCGTAGTCAAATAATAAAGTAGTGAATAAGATATCGTTTTCTCCAAAATTACGCATTTAATCTAGTTCTTATTATCACCAACTTCAATAAAATAGTCAAGTTACGATTGATTGATTTTATATAAATTATCTAAACTAATATAACGAGCAATTAACCAATAAATTAATAATTTATTAATTTATAGAGTGTGTTTACAATTCAAGGAACATATATTTAATCAGCTAAAAATTCAGTATTTTGCCTATCTAACCAATTGAATATGAAATAATGCCCAATACATACATTAGGCTCCCGTTAAATCTCATCAAATTAATTTAAAATTTTCTCTTTCCTATTTTCAATCATCTTCAATAAAATAATATTACACGTAAATCAAAATTTTTTCATTCTTTTACAACCATCCATTTTTCCAAAAAAACACTATTTCCCCAATTATAATAAAAAACAATGTGGGCAAACGGGGCTAGATTAACCAAAAAAACCCAAATTCATTGTACTAAATTAGAGCAGTTTATAAACGACAAAGGTAGAGCAAAACTAACACATCGATCCTATGTGGTTGTTAAGGATCTACTGCTTTGGATTTTTTAAGGATTCATTCATGTAAGACACTAGTCACTAGTAGCTCGAACTAGAATTTAACCAGCAGATTATGTTCAGATAATTATGTAATCGCGCAGTCCCTCCCTTAACCTCGATCTCGTTTGCTTTAGCAAGTGTTTCTATTTGCATTTCTCATTGTAAGAGAAAGCCGAGATATTCTTACCTTCTCATTTCTAGATGTCTATTATTTCTCATATTACCTTGATGAGAAAGATTTTTCTAGCTCGTTGTGTCCAAGGTTGATTAATCGTTAATTTTCATTTCGGCCATGAGCTTTCCCAAATTTTTTGAGCGCTCTACAAAATTAGCTTCAATTCTCATATATTTATTGTGTAAATATCTAACAATCCCCCTCACGTAAACAAAGTAAGATAAAACATAAATATTATTTTGGAGTATGGTAGAAATCCCGCATGCTTAATTGTCTATTGAGCTTTGTATATTCTATCAAGCTTCCTAACTGTAGAGTGAATTATGACTTGAACTCTAGAATTATAGTTACAAATCGAGACAATAAAACATGCACTTGACTTTTGTAGGGAAAAATTGGAGAATTAGAATAAATCAACCAAAACCAAAGGCCCGTGTTTACAGGGTTTCCTTAAATCGAATTCGCTGCCTCACCGGGGTGCAAGAGGTGTTAATCGGTGTTCAATTCCCAGGATACAATCGGTTGACGGTTCCGCTGCACAACGTTACCGACCTACGAACTAGATGTGTCTATCTCTCAAAGAACTTTAGCAAAGAAAGGAAAAAAAAAAAAAAAACCGGAGCTGCTGGAAATGGAGGAGGAAACTGAACTTTTTTTCTTTGTTGTGTTTTCTTTTTTGTTGTATTTCTAGCCGAGAGTGATCCTCTATTTATACCAATATAGGAGGAGCTTGCTCATAAATACATTGAATAGGGAGTTACAACATGGATGAATGAACAGGGTGAAACCGACATATTTCAAATGGGAAGAAACTGATGTTTTCATACGCATTCAACATGTATTCAAAATGATGAAACTGACAGCATTCAACATGCATTCAAATTGATGAAACTGATATAGTGAACATTCAAAACGTAACTAACTTTTCATTCATCAACATTCAAAACGTAACTAACTTTTCATTCATCATTCAAAATATTCCAACAGTCCCCCACATGAATGAAAAATTTTGAAAATAGAGACTCAAGAGAGAAAGAGAGA